ATGAATGTATTTTAACAGAAACAAGAAATCTAATCTGCTAGGGCAACATTAATCCAGGGAAAACACTTTCTGAAGTGTCCAGAGCTTGTTAACACAGCTAACACCTGAGGCAGCAGTGTGTCTTTAAGCTCTACTAATATTGTACAATAGTAATTTTTGTGGAAGAAAATCTTCCCTTCTCCCTGAACAGAAACAAGACATATTATTGACTGCCATCCGGAAAGATGTATGCTCTGGCCCTCGTGAGTCTATTAATATTTGATGCTGATGGATGTGAGCTGGCAGCCTGAGTTATTAATGGAGTTTGGTTCCTTGGACCTAACCCCCAATACATAGGGGAGAATTAACAATAACAAGAACTCTATGCCCAAACCTCTGGCGGTGCTAGAAAGGTCTGTCATTTAGTTTCAGCAACAATTAGTATTTCTGAAGTACTTTAAGGTACGGAAGGTCGTATAGGTGGTGTTAGTTACGTTACTGCCACCAATCATTTCGATTTAAAGCTGACTTTTCAGGGTCCCCAGGGATCACAAATCCCCCACCTGTACCTTTGCTGTGTTGGGATACTCCCATTAGATGGATTTTGAAGAAAAGAAGGCTCACTCCCGTTAGCTTCTGAGCAGCTGTGCAGAGGTGTGGGACACCCTGCCCTCGGTCGCACCGAGCTGCCATCTCGCAGGCTGGGACCTGGGCAGGTGTAAGGCAAGGCGGAGGGCAGGACCAGGCTGCCTCGCACACAGTGCAGGGCATTTGCCGGAGCTGGCCCTCGTACCATGTCCCATAAAGAGAGTTTTTCCATTGATTATGTTAGAGTCAGATTTGAGCCCTGAAATTCGGAAATAATGCATTGGAGAGAATCCAGGGGTGTATTTTGATAAACCTGGCCTTCTAAGTGAAAATGATGAAGAAAATGAAGCACTTTTGAAAGTTTGTGATGTCCATATGGATCATTCTGACTTGGAAAAGAGAGATGTAAAATACCAAGTTATTTATAGCTAGATTTCTTAATATAGCTTTAACATTTTCAGGGGTATATGCTTGATTGAATTAGCTACTCCTTCCTATCATGTATACCACATCCAGGCATTTCACTACTCTCATTAACCTCCCGATCTTAATAGAAAAAAGAATAATCAACATAAGGAGCACAGCTGTTGATTAATTTTACTAAATAGGATAGAAATATAAAGTACCATATTGCAAGAGTGAAGATTCAATACACAATGTTTGAAATCAGTTTAGTAGAATATATAACTCATTAACAACTGGATAGACATACATGGCGACATTATTCACTTGGGCAGGTGGTGAGAGGGAGGAGGAATTTACATATCTTTAACAGTACCTGAATGCATTTAATTTCATAGGTCATTCTCCCAAATCAAGTTCAAAATGTTAATAACAGGGTGTGCATTTATAATTAATAAAATCTTAGAGCCAGTGCTACAGTTCAAGTGCATTTTCCTCTTATGTAATTAAGAAGTTAAGTGTATTTGGCAGTTGTCAGTCAGGGAGCTCAGAAGGTCTCACTTGTCAAACTCCGGGATAGAAATCTCATTAAGCCAGTTATTATTTCAGTTAAGGTTTGTTTGCAAAGTAGGTACATATAAGGTGGACAACCAGAATGACCAACCGCTGTTAGTCCATAAAATGTAGTACATTAAAGTAAAGGCCAAAACTCAAAGGCACGTTGAATAAAGACGAAACAGCTTGATGTTTAGCTTGTATACAGTGCCTTTTCTTTGGGATACCCAAAGCGTCTGTGTCTGACTGCCCTCCACGCAGAGTCAGTCTACAGCAATCCGGTGAACCCGCACCAGCCTATTGCGCACATGGCCGGGGAGAACTTACCGCCTAACACGAGCTCATCTGCGGTCACAGAGAGTCAGCTGAGGAGCTGGAAATCCACCTTCTGCTTCCTCCCGTGGCCCAGACGCTGGTTTAGTTCCTCTGATTCCACGGGGATATTTTAGCTGTGCATCACTCTGTTCTACTTGCCTTTTCAAAGGAATTTTCTTTTACTTCTAGATCACTAGTTCAAATCCAGATAAGGTCAGTTGTCGTAGAAATTATTAGCAGTACCAGCAGTTCTGTGTTGTACATTAAATGAGTTGGGAGTTTCGTTCACACAAGATATGACTTTCTAAGTGGCACTAATTGGCTGTCTAATTGTCGCATACAGGAGAAAGGCAGAGGATTGATTAGGCGTGGAGACTGAGTGCCCCTCTGCCATCCCACTCGGCTCCGGGTTCCCGTAGCTCATTCTGTAGGCACGCTGGCAGGGTAATGAGGGGCAGCGTGCTTTGGATTTCCCGGCTGTCAAGACAGCACCTTTTACTGCCAGGCCTTTTCAGGGGAACTTGTTTTACTCCACCAAGGTCAAAGATAGCATCTTTTACAAACACTGCTTTCACTCAAAAATCAGAGACTTGTAGGATTTACTTCTGAGCGGTACGTATTTTAACCATTTCTTTTACTTCCCCCTAAACCAAAGGTTTTAGTATAAAATAGGATGAGTCATACTGGTGCTAGGCAGCACTGCTACAGCAAGCATTTGGGGGTTTATGGTGCTCAGAAATCTGTTCGTATTTCCTTTTACTGTCTCAGTGTCTGATGCTGTGATATACAGGCTCCTGGAGGTACTTGCCATGGCATAGGGAAGCTGACATTTTGTGCATTTATCTCCTGATAAATGGATCCTCCTATCAAAGTGAAGCCTCTCACCTGCAAAAGTACATTTTGACCAATATCTTTTCCCCTGAGCTATGGTATAGGTCACACTGTGCAATGTAGTTACTGTTTAACTTTGGAGTAGGATAGCGTTCTCTGACATCGAACTAAATTATTAAAGTTTGACTCACTGAGGAAGTAAATTTAGGAGGTAATTTGTGACGTGAAAGTCAGGACTACACATAGAAGAAAAAGGAGCAAAAATACCTTGTATATGCTAACATATGTAGACCCAACTATGGGACTCTGTAAGTAGGTTTAAAGGAATTGTGCTCACATTTTAATTCCCTTGTTGTATCCGATGAACAATGTTAATAGGAACTATGTCTCTCCTTTCAGCCACACAAGCTAATCAGTGCATACAGCATACTGTAATTTACTGTTGAAATATTCTGTTTCTGTAACCTACGAGTATTTACTCTCCTTCCCCTCACTTTCCCCACATGCAAAGCAGAAATAGGACAGGGACTACCTGTTTCTGTGTTCTGCTCTGTGTGCCCCCTCTCCCTGACATAGGCATCACGCCTTGTTCAGCACTCGTCCTAAAGTCACAATCTCCTGCAAATTAATTGAAAACAAATGCAAGTACCAGCTACACGTCAAAAAGGTCTAAATCACCTGCCATGTAGTTTTCCTTTCTGTCAGTCTGTGGAAGATGAGCACGTACGAGATCCTTTAGCTTTTTAACAACCCTGTTCTTGGAATATATTTTCCAAGAAATGCAGAGCAGTCTTTGCACGGTTTCAGACTGTATATTTTGTGATTAGTGTTTCGTAAGTGATGTTTTGCTTAATGATCTAACATCTGTTCTAGGAGGTTTGTTTTTGTAACTTACCCACTTGCTGAATGAACGCCAGAAACTTGTCCCTTTCCTCCAAGTCAATCAAAGCACTAATTGCATCATAATCACGGGAAGCAGCGGTGACTGCTCAAGTGCTGAAGACTCAGCAATCAACTCATAACACTCTGCTCACTGTTTCGAAAGAGAAAGCCTCCCTGTGCAGAGATGGGAATTTCCTGCGATTCAGATTTCTTTAACTGACTCTGACTTTTTTGGGGTTTGCAGGGAGATGACTGCACCGTTACCTGCATGGCAGGAACCTACGGAACCAATTGCTTGTCAGTTTGCAATTGCAAAAATGATGGTGCGTGTTCCCCTGTGGATGGTCTGTGCTATTGCAAAGAAGGTAAACAAAATTCAGATTTAACAATTGTCTGCAATTGGGCATCAATGCTTGTCCCCTTTTAAAGTGGCACAGCTGTGCAGTCAGTAACTCCACTATTTTCTTGTGCCTGTCAGTAATTCAACAGTCTGCCCGTGTATCAGAACTCGACAGGGGCTTGACTGTATGTTTTGTCTCTGCCCTGAACAGGGGCCAGACTTCACTGCTCTGCTGCAAGAACGGGTCACAGAACTGAGTGTGCTGGCAGAGCCACAGCTCCTCTCCAGAGGAAATGCAAAGCAATCCCCAGACTGTTGGGGTTTTTTTCTCCATCACTTTGCTGCCCCATTTCTCCAGGACTCAAAAGCCTCTGTTCTTCCCTCCATGCCTACAGTGACACAGCTGGGCAAGAGAGCAGAGACAGCCTCCTGCCTGGCTTTCCTTCAGCCCATTGCACGGGGCTGTGCCCGGCCGTGGTTATCCTCACCAGACCTGACCCTGACCTGCAGACTGCCTGCCTGTCTCGACCTTGGACTGGTCTCATTCCCGTAGGCTTTCCTGGTGATTTGGGCTCCTAGCCGACCCTGGCTGCCAAACCTGCGCTTGGGGACTGTGGGATGGGCCCTGGCTCTCTGCCCTTGCTGCCATCCTCAGCTCCCCGTACCCTGACACTGTGACACCCCAGCCATGTGCAGGTATCCTCTGTCTCCTGAGCTAGCATGGGGTTGCAGGATGTGGCTGTCTTTTATCTGGGGAAACAAGAAGTCTTGCTTGCTCTGGAGTCTCTCTGCAAGAGTAACATCTTTTCTTCCCACAGATATGTCCATAATTCCCTCATGTGCTTGGTAGTGAGCGTAACCAATATGTCCAGTGATCTTGAGAGGTCCTGTACTGCTCCTTAGCACAGTGTCTCTTATGTCCCCATGTAGCGGTGCCTTTCCCCAGAATACCAACATCAGCTATGCCTGTATGGCATACATAAGCCCTAAAACAGAAATGAGGCAAATAACAATAAAATCTGGCATTTCAACATGAATTAATGGATCAGTGTAGAACCCCATTTAATGAGGGTGTATAAACCATGAGTTACTGCTCAACCCCATTTCATACAGCTGCAGTGTAATGAAAGCCATTGTGCAGCTGGTAGTTAAGATTTGAGCCTTAATGGTCAGAAATGATGGCCTTGGTCTTTTTTTAGGTGTAATAGCTTCTTTATATTAAAGAGCATTCTCAAAAAAAATATGAAGTAAGAAACAAGCAACGTTGAATGGCAAGTTTCCTGCATTCTTGCTCATCAGCAGGTCTCCAGCCTGCCAGACAGTACTGCACTCTCTCTTGTGCCCAAGCAGTTCCCAGAGAGGCATCAGACACCTTAATCTGGTAAACAGCCAACACAGCGATAACTATGTCACCCTTCCGTATGTATAGATGCTGGTAGATGAAGCTGGGAGGTCGTAATTAAAGGGTCAGTCTTTGACCCCAAGATAGTCTTCAATTTACACCAAGATCAGGAGGAAATTGGTCCTAGAACTAAAGAACTGCAGTTTGCAAGCTGCCTTTCTTGCTGTCTCTACCTTGCTTTTTTCATGACAACATCCCGAATGCTGTTTCTCTCATATGTTTCTTCAGGGTGGCAAGGAGTGGATTGCTCTATTCCATGTTCAAGTGGAAGTTGGGGTCTTAACTGTAACCAGACGTGTTTTTGCACAAACGGAGCGGCCTGCAGGCCGGCTGATGGCTTTTGTCTCTGCTCACCTGGATGGCAAGGGGAGTACTGCGACCAGCCGTGTCCTGTAAGTACAACTGGGATGGTCTTGCATCCCCTTTAAAACCATAGGCCACATAGCTCTTCTCAATGTGCAGTAGGTCAGTATCTCACTTTGTCTATGGATATCTGAAGGAAATCATGTGTAAATAACAGATTGGGGTTCTAGCAGTCAAGTAGATGTATTATCCTTTGCATTGTATTTTATCAGAGCTATTGCCGTGTTATCTGCATTTTCTGGAACATCATTTTTTAAAGTGATTTCTCATTTGGTTCTATATAGAAATGTTGGGCACTGAGTAGTTTCTATCTTCTCTGCATGTTAATTTAAAAAATGCGACTCAGCATTCAGAGGGACATGATAGATGATTTTGCACATTTTAGAACAAAAAACTGATTACTGAGAGACTTTTTATTTATATTTTTGGAAGGATGGAACATATGGTCTTAATTGCAGTGAACGTTGTGACTGTAGCCATGCAGATGGGTGCGATCCTGTCACTGGTTACTGCTGCTGTCTTGCAGGCTGGACAGGTAAAATTAGCAATTACCTTTGTAAACCTTGGGGGTTTTGTTGTTTTGGGTTTTTGAGGGGGGGTTGGTGGGTTGTTTTGCTTTGCTATTGCATCAGTTATAGCACTGGACTTGTGACTGCAAACTTTTAAATAATAGATTGAGACAAGATCAGCTGAGCTTACCCGTATTTAAATCACTCATGATGGTGACAATAATTGGCATTCATTAAATTTATATTCAGATTAGTTGAGGATGGCTCCAAACCTGGAGCCAGATGTTAGCCTTCTGTAAAAAGAATCCTCAGGAGGGATGCAGATCATCTGGAAATCCTGCAGACTTTTTCTCCTTGAATAGCCCTTTCCAGAGGGGGTGCACCTGTGGTACGGTGAATCCTGGGACCGTCATACCTGGGGATGCAGATAGGTGTTTTCTGAATGCTAAGAGTCATTACAGCAGCTCCATCATACAAAACTGAGTTTGGTCACAAAATGTTGTCTTTATGCTTCTCCCATTTTCCCATGCTTCTTGTCACACAGAAGGGTAGTTATGGAGAGCAGATTAATGTTGGTTTGACAAAAAGTTCTCATGATTACAGAGGCAGAGAGGAATATTCAGTGAAGCCAGAGAGTCCGGGCTGGAGATCTCAGTACAATCAGACCTGCACTTGACTCCATACTGCTATGTCTCTTTACCAGCTTTTGACAGCTAACATAAAAGCAGCGGGGGGCAAGTTATTGACCCTACCAGTATTTCACACTTAGCTGCCTAAAATATTGGTTAATCTCCCTCAGCTCTCTGTAGAGGCCCTGGAGGGACATAAACTTATATTCTTGCCCATAACTGCAGAACCACCAGTGGTCCTGACAACAAAATGTATTTATATTAACAGCAATTCATTTGGAAATTTTCATTGTTTTTCAAACAAGTACAAGTTGGAAGAATGTCTGGAGCAAAGCAGGGTGATCAGGCAGCCAACATTTAGGATACTGTTACTTTACCCCTTTATTTATGCCTTAAACCAATGGATGCCTTCTATTTCTGATGAAGAGAACATCATCACAGCAGCTCAACTCCTAGAAGCATGAAGCAAAAGCAATGAAATTATACCTAGAACATACAATGGAAAAAATCTTTTAAGAATGAAATAAAATGCAAAAATAGAAAGTTCTACACACTGCTTACAACAAAGCTCCTTTTCAAAGATACCAGTCATACATCCCTGAAAAGGGCTTTTTTCCCCCAAGAAAATCCATTTTATAAGCTCACTAATGTCCCCTCCTCCAGCTTGCATTCTTCACTCACTGGACTGCATCAATCTTTCTTTGAGCCTCTTTACCGTCAATATATCCATCTATCAGGCTTTAAAACTCCACTGTGCATTATTGATGGTCATCAGAGAAACAGTCGGTAGGCTTTCCTGTGGTCATTGTGAGTTTCTTCAAGGGAGAAAACTGGTTTTAAAAGTACAGTAAATATACAGAGATATATTTGTACACACTTACTCTAAAAGTTTATTACACATCTTTCTGGATGTAGCATTCCAGAGGAAACTGTAGAAAATGTACTTTGCAGGTAGTACAGACTAAAGGTGTGGCTTTTTCTCAAAGACATTTGCAACAAATACTTTATTCTTACTCCCATGCACGTCTGTAAATGTACATCAAATGCAGACACAAATTACTCCACGTAAAGGTAAGAATAATTTCTGTGCTATCCTTCTTTTTTTAATTTCCGTATTGGGCAAGATAAATGTATAGAAACTTGCAGGGGACTTACTGCAAACTGAGCACTTTATCCTTCAATGTGCCCCTGCAGTTCTGGAACTCCCTTCTTCAGGATCACATTTCAGGGAGGAAAATATTACGTTAGTATTCAAGACCAGGTTGGAGTTGAGATGTTGACAGGGCCATGTAAGCTGTGCACTGGAAATCTTGATAGACAGACAGAGCCAACGTGTTTTGTCAATTCTGCTTCCAATGTTTTTTTCCACTTGGCTTAGGACCAGTGGAAGGACAAGGATAAATTCTGCTCATACTAGTTTGAAAGTATGTAATTTAAGAAACTCTTCAGCTAGATAATTATATTTTCATATTAAGGAGTATGGCATTGGTGAAAGATTAATCTTATCTGTAGTTGTTGTGAACTGGGCCACGATGTGTATTGCAGTACATTTTATAAATACGACGTGATAAATAATTCACGCTTAAATTTTTGCTTTCTGAATTTGGTACTAATTAGTCAAGGCCTGAAAAAGATCAGAAAAGTTCAGGATCACGGAATATCTGAAGGTTTTCCTGCTCGCTCACACCAGACAGAGAATTCAGGTGGCTTTCTGATCCTAATAGCCACAAAACTTCATCTGAAACAGCATATTCTGTATGTTCATCCCACACGTGGGACTCCCTCTTGATGTCAGTGTTTTATGTAAAGATCAAGGGGAAGATTGAACCCATTTTCTTTAAAGTGGATTTCAAGATGTTAGTGATATAAACCTCCAGAGGCTGATAGATGGTAGGAGCATGGAGGAAGACTGGGAAAAGAAGAAAAAAAAGCATGTAAAGAGTAGCATACAATGTAAGTTAATAGCAGTCTACCATCCTTTTATTATGTTATGACTGCCACCCATCAAGACTGTTATTCAGTACAATGGCCTTCCGTGTGTACCAGCTGGGGGAAGGTAATTTTCAGGAGCTGAGTGTACCTGGCAGATGGGAAGATGATGAAGAGATTCCCACATATCAACCAGGAGATCACAAAGCTGTGCAAACCGGCTGTATGCATAAATAAGCACACTGGCAACACGCTGCTTAGAGACGTGCATATGCAGTTTCCTTTAAGTTCAGTGGGGAACAGCACGTGTGCTGCCGAAGGCAGAAGTTAGATCAGATCTAAAGATGATTGCGCCCTGTCATTATTGCTGAAAATTACCCAACCAGGTACGCAGGCACATTGTATCACAAATGGCTTTGTAGGTAGCATGGCAAGCATAACTTTTGTACATAGAAAACCAAACCCACATTGGCAAAAGGCTCTCGCATGATACAAGCAAAGCAAAGCTTGTTGAAATGTGGGCCAAAATCGGGTCTGTGACGTGCTGACACAATGCAGAGCTGGATTTTCCTCCACACGAAGGAAATGTCAGATGCAATAACAATAAGGGCTCAGCCTTGCACTAAATGGAGTTCTCCTGCTTGCACCAGTTCTGCATACGCATAACCTCACATATATAAATAGTACCCTTGAAATCAAAAGAAGGCATGGTCATAGCTATTGCTAGGTTAAAAAGGAAAAGTGTAGCCTCCAGCAGGATCAAGTCTTGACTGATTAGACGGATTGTTTTCTAAAGATTAATAAGGGTGTCTCTTACTCCAGATCTGCCATGCATTTTAGATCCATGTCACTTCTGTGCTTGCAGCTCTGTGTCTGTGTGTATGTGTGCACATAGATACCTTAAAGCTCCCGACATACTAGTCATTTGTGGAAGAGGTGTTACTTTGTGTACATTCAAGTTAAAATGCAAATACTTGAAAATAGAGTGCTTCGGTGCTGACTGCATTTGGTTAATTGGGGATCTTGCACCCACTGGATCTGCAGGGCGAATGGAAGCACAGGAAAGCTGCGTGGTGGAGCATTTCCTGGAAGCCCTTTGCAAGCAAACAGGTCCTAGAGAAGGAGGCATCAGCCTCATCTCGCCCAGATGCAACCTCCTCTCCTGAATGCTCAGTGACAGTGATAAGGTCATAAATTTCAATCAGGCTCCTCTTAATAAATAAGCTGAACCTGGACAGAAAAGACCAGCTGCCCTGGGAGCCTTGCTGGGTGGGTCAGAAGCTAGGGAGAACATGGGAAGGCAAGGTTCCTCTGTTAGGTGTAAGGCTGTGTGGCTCTGGAAATTACAGCTCCAGCTAAGCCAGATGGGTTTTGCAAGCTGAACTGCAAACCCCATCAGCTTGGTCCTCTCTCCTCAAAGTGGCTTTGGCAGCATGTTTCGTATCAGAAATGGCTTCCTCACAGATACCAACCAGTTATTATGACATAGCCTTTAGTTGGCTCACTCAGTATAACCCTCAATAATTAAATTGGTCATAGCTGCTGGCCTGTCCTTTAATTTCTGGAGGTGCTCCCTTTGGGCTTGACCTAAGCCAGGTTAGCGGGACTCTCTGGGAAGGCAGAGGCAGCCGTTGCTCATCCTGTCTCTAAGACCCGAGTCCATCCGTTTTCACAGTCAGACGTGCCGCTTGCAAACAGATTACAGAAAGGAAAGCCACAGGCCTGGCTGATATTCACAGCAAACTCATTTCCTCCCTGTATCGAGTCAATGTGCCTCAAGTTAATTGTGGCAGTGTGTATTTTGTTAACCTTTCAGATATTACAGTGGGATTAAATAGGAAGCGATCTGCAGGGGGATATGTTCCATTCCTGTAAATGTTAAGGTCAGTTAAAATCCTGTTTATCTGAATTCCTTTAACCTAAAATGCTGTCTTATCCGAATCTTGGTTCTGTCTTTCTTTTTTTTTGTACCACGCTCTAGTTTTTATAGAACGCTGTAGTCACGATGCTATCATCTCAATTATCCACTGAACTAGTTTACTCGGTAGCTTTTCTGAATATCTGAAGCCAAAGTTTATTCAGTAGATTTTAACTTCCCAAAAATGTGTGGGGAAAATAGGATGGTACTGTAGATGTAAGATGGAAAACATAGAAGTGTGCATCCCATAGTTAATTATGAAAGAATCCCTCATGGATTTTCCTTAATTAATCAGGATGGCAAATAGAGGTATTAAGCTGATGTATGCTGGTAAGGAAGAAACATGCTGTTCTTGCATTGGTACTCTTCACCTTCAGGCTTCGTTGATGTCTCATAAGAGCAGCATCCCTCTTTGCTGTTACGTAGAGGAAATCAAAATATATATTTCACTGTCCTTTACAACCTCAATAACTTTCATACGTTGCCAGCAACATAAACCCTAATTGTCTCTTATCGTGTCCAAAAATATGGTACAGTAGTTGTGGTAGTC